CAACGTGAAGCTAGAGGTACCACAGCAAATCACATATTCTCGTTTATCAAAAGCGTCATCAAGAAATTAGAAACATACGAGGAACTTAAGGGAATGAAGTATTTTGTAGACATGCCAGTGAACATATTGAATTGTGTAGAGAAAAGCGATTATTCTAGATGAAATAGGGAAGAGAAATCATGAGAGGTGCTTTGGACTTTGTTTTCGATTACACTTGAGCACGATTCTCTAGATGAATGCTACACGAATGACCTCAGTTGTGGGGGGGGGGGGGCTTGCGTTTTTTTTTTGAAGGTATGAATATGCTGGCCCAAATATGAAAAATTCCGGCCCGTATTACGAAAAATTCCGGGCCGAGGGTTCGAATGTACTTTGGAAACACTGTGCGTGAGCCTCGCAGCACGGAGCTCAACATTTACGAGCGCCACTACATGTTAATTATTATTGTAGCCTGAGTTAAGACTAGTAGCTTCTATTATACGTTTAAATTGTCTTTTAGACCTTTTCTTCATAATCAGAGTTGAGCCAACCATTCTGGAATACAAACCCTCCAGGAATTTCGTAAGCCAATTGATTGGATTTGTTAGCTGCCTTGCCACATGGATCATTGAGCTGATCAAGGCCAGTAAAAGTGTTAATAGTAGATGTGAAAACGGTTCCATCTTCCAGTGTCACCTCAGGCCAAAATCCAACATAGGTACTAATGGGAATGCATTCGTTTCCTTTTGGCGTGAACCAATACAACTCGTTGAAAGTGAGACCTCCGCTTGAAAGTAGGGAATAGTTCTTGGGAGTCCAGTACTCGCCGATGGTGACCACTGTCTCGCCAGTCGCATCATCAATCAAAGTACCAGTCCATCTGTTGCTACCATCGTCGTTTTGCGCAGTTCTCTCCATTATTTGTGTATAGTTCTTTCCATACTCCCATGGAAAGTCAACAGCACATGAGACACCTGGTCCTCCATCAGCACCCTTAGAGCAATTAGGGTGGTCGGTGGTAGGTCCATACCCAAAAACACTGTAAGTTAAGTGATTGATGGAACCTTCCTTACGAGGTTGAGGGCCAAAGTAACCAGCGTCTTGAGTGGCAAAGTAAAACATGGTTCCATAGTAGTAGCCTTCTACCTTGTCGCCACCGACATTCCACTTTTGCAGCACCTTGACGACTTTGCCATCAAGGCTGTAGTCTGGCTTGAAAAAAATATTTGGGGAATCAGCAAAAGCGCCAACAATAACGCTCAAGGAAACGAGTAAGTTGGATAATTTCATGATAATGGAATAATTGTTTTGGACATTTGCAGGGAATTATGGGTTATATAGATGTCATTTTGCAGTTCCATATTGCTGCATGAAGTTATTGTCCAATATTGCGAATAACATG